CAGGACCAGTTCAAAGGGCTGTGCTGCCACTTAGCAGACACTGAAACCATGCACTTCACACTGACGTTGCCCCATCCCCCACTCAAACAACAGCAAACAGCCCTGGCTGGGGGGCTCAGTTGGTTGGAGCAAACAAATACCCAAATTGGACTAAAGACTTGAATCCACAAATCCAAAAGGCTCAATTAACTCCACGTAGAATAAACCCAAAGAGATGCACACCAACGCACACACTCCAACTTCTGAAAGGCAAAGCCAGGGGGACTCCTGAAGCAGCAGGAGGACTCCCACCTGGAAGGGATCGCCTGAGGATGTGAGCCGTTTCTCAGGCCTGAGGGGTGAAGGTGGATGCAACCACGGAGAGGAAGACGAGGGGGTTTTACGTGATCCTGTGTCCTGCGGTGGATCCTGTATCCTATTCTGTGTCCTGACTGTGGTGCTGGTTAAACAGATCTTTACACGTGTTCTGACTCACCGAACAGTAACCAAATGAAAAGTCAATGTCAGGCTCATAATTTTAAAAATTAAAAGAACTTGAAAAAGCTGGTCATGTTGATGTAAACGGCAAAACTGCAAGATGTGAGCAGAGGGTAGGACACTCTCAGAAACCATCTTCCTCAGAGCCCCTCCTCTGAATCCTTTTGCTGTTTTTGTGTTAAATCCATTTTGCTCATTTTGCCCATTTTTTTTAACAAGCAATGACCTCCACCTTCCCCAAATGCCTGTCAATATGAAGAAGTATGTTTAACTTGTTATATTTTTCTGCCTTAAGAAACATAAAGTATCTTTTCTTAGCAAATGTCAAGTACAATATGCCTAAACATTTTCTTCAGTATTATAAAATAAAACCGTGTGAATAAAACTTTTTTATAATTAATTTCTCATAATAAGTTCTCAGACATAATTTATATGAATATATTTGAAAATTATCTTAGATAAATATTGATCCCAAAAGTCATCATGTTTGGTCATTTTCAAAACCATATTTAAATTGGAAAGTAATTTACCAAAAAATATTTCTGTATCCTAGAGCTCTATTCTATTAAAAGTATTCTCCCATTAATATATTAAGTCATCTTGATTCTAAAGATTTCTTTGCTGAAATACCCATATTAAAATCAAAATGAAAAAACTTGAGCAGACTGTGAACTGACTTCCTATAAGCAGAGCCACCGCAGTAAGTGAACACTTCTCCACCAAGAAAGGCCTCTGGGAGGGAATCGTGCCCATTCTCTCTCCTCTAACGCATGCACATGACTTGTTTTAATGCAGCAATGCCAATAGAAGTATCACTGCCAGAAATGTACACAGGCCTAACAATAAGATTCTGATTAGTGTCACAAAAGATCAAAATATGTATCCATTATAAACTTATACAAGTTGATCTGCAATTAGAGTCTCCAAATATAAACCCCAGAATCTCAATGAGTAAATGAGTTCTCTAACTGGTACCCACTCATGTGTAAGTGAAGTCATTTCATCGTTGAAAAACTCAGCTGTTTTCTATCTATATGACCTCAATTATGTAGAAGGACCCTCAAAAACATATTCTCAAAGGCACATTTACCTAAAAGGTTAAAAGCAGGTAGGGGTGCCCTAACCGGTATGGCTCAGTGGATAGAGCGTCGGCCTTCGGACTGAAGGGTCCCAGGTTCGATTCCAGTCAAGGGCATGTACCTTGGCTGCGGGCACATCCCTAGTAGCGGGTGTGCAGGAGGCAGCTGATCGATGTTCCTCTTTCATCGATGTTTCTAACTCTCTATCCCTCTCCCTTCCTCTCTGTAAAAAAATAAAATATATATATATATATATATATATATATATATTTTAAAAAGCAGGTGATATTATACTACCAATTTAAGTATACTATTTTAGAAATAAGAACATAGATTAATAAACCTAATTTTAAAATGCAACTAAGCTTAGACTTAATTCAACCCACCCAACTCTAAAATGTGTGTGTGTTTGTCAACAACACACTTACTATTTGGTGTCAACAAATAGTATCACAGATAACAAAACTAGAGAACTAGCTCAATAAAATGAGGCAGAGACCTCAAACCACTTAACGAAGACAAGGGTGCATTTTAGGTACTCTCCACACCTGGCCTCTTCTGTAAAATAAAAATATCACTCTTCCAAACCCAAAAACACATGTTTAAGAATTGTTTCTACTTTGAAAACAGGTATTTCTCTCAGCTCAGTAAGTAGAAAGTTAACTCCTTCTGTGTAGTAAAGTATTAAAAGCAAACATAAGTCAATGAGAGAGCCTACAACAAACCAATTATCTATATATATAAAAGGCTAATATGCTAAGTGTCTGTCAGACCAGTCGCTATGACACGCACTGACCACCAGGGGGCAGGCGCTCAACGCAGGAGCTGCCGAGCTGCAGTGACTCGGCAGTGGCAGTTCTCAGGTGCTGCACCCCGAAACCAGAGAGGAGGGAGCCCAATTCCTCGTGGAGCCACGCAATTCCACCTTCAGCCATGTGCTGTGTTGTTGCTGGGGCACTGTTGGCCCCAGATCTGGTTTCCTGCACACTTGCGTTTGCGTTCCACACCCTGTACGACAGCAACTTTGCAGAGTGCCCTCTTGCACTCCAGGACCCCTCAGGATGTCGGGAGACGGTTTCGGCCCAATCCCGGCAGGCCAGCCAAGGGACCCCACCTGCCAGAGGGACCCCGCTCACTCCGCAGACAGCCTTGAGCCGCTGTGCCGTCCCAGGTACGGCCGGCGGGAGGGACTGCAGGAGGTTGGCTCCAGGGCATGTCCGGCCCGTCTTGCCCAATCCTGCCCTGCCAGCCACCTTCTAATTAATTTCCTTTCAATGTGCATGAATCCATGCACCAGGTCACTAATAAACTATAAAATGCCCCCGACTCTTATGTCTTCCCAACTTCTACCTACAAAACCACATGTAATGACATTTACATGATGCAGTTTCTAAAGACACACTGATGTGGGTGCTAATCCACCCAGAAGGGCCATCGTCCCGCTCACTCCCACAGGCTGGTTCTTCTCCGACTGCCTCTGATGGACAGCCCCACCCAGAGCTGGGGCCAGGTCACGGAAGGTCCTGTCAGTAACACACAAGCCGCCTGCTTGGCACCCGGTGACCCATCTAGCAAAGGAGCATCATTTAGAATCAGTACATACGTCCTTTCCGGTGCTCGACTAAGCCCACGGCCTGCTTTGCGGAACACTTGGCAAACCAGTTGTCCCCCAGTAAAACGGTGACTTCATTAGTGTGGACGAGTTTTCCTGGCATGAAGGCAAAAGGGCCAAATGGTACCTATTTAAAAAATAAAATAACAGCATTAAGAACACTGGAAAACACATCTTATGAAACACTAAGCATTAAAAGCTCTGCGCTGAGGTCTCTTTATCTGTACACTAAGGAAAATAAAATGTCAACGTCACAGAAATGTAACACTCTCTTAAAGTTTCACCAGGAAAACCTATAGGAGTTTGTGTTAGGTTAATAAATCAACAGGGGAGACGGCACATTTCATACACCTCAGCGAAATCAGCACTGTCTCGAAGTCGTCATCCACCTGCTTTTTGTTCACTTATACTTTTTGTTCATTCATAAATCTAAATGAAACAACCTTGTAATGAAATATTAATACCTTTGATTAAAAAAACAAAATTATTTCCAATAAAATAGCCATTTATTTTTGCAAAGCAGGAATGAATAAATAAGTAGCTTTAACAAATCTACAAAATGTATAAAATGTTGAGGCCAGTAGAACGGACAACAGCACACACAGTGCCTGGGCTGGTGTAATTAAGAACAGTGTTCATGAAGAACATCCATGCAATGACGGAATCTAATCCAGGGCTTGTGAACAGATGACTATGTCAATATGAAGATCATTTAAACAGAAACTAGGAGGACCTTTTTATATAAAATCAATGTTCTAGGGTTTAATTCTGTGAATTACGCAACAGTATGGCCTATTCCTGCTCTGGCTAACAGGAAGCGACTAAGTGTGATATTTCTGTCATAATTACAGTTTTCTGACATAGTAAACCTGCACACCAAATATGTCAAATTCTGTGCTAGCGTTTCTGCCATGTATGTCACCGTGATGTGGCCATTTCATGTCAGTCTGGGGGAAGGGGAAGAAGACCCACGATGACCACGACTGGTGTGAGTGTGAAGTGAAACAGACGAGCCCATGGCTGCGGCCTGACGCAGGCCCTCGGCGAGGTCATGTGACCTGACGCCGCAGGCACAGGAACACCACCCCTCCCAGGGTAGTGTCTCCACAAGACACAAGGGCCCCGCAGGGGACACGGACCCACCATGATGCTGTAGGACAGCTTGTCGGGCAGGGTGCCGAGCCGCTCCTGCAGGGCGCCGTAGTCGTCCTCCACCTGCTGCCTGTGACAAAAACACCAAACCCTCCATCAGCACGCCCGTCGCTCCTCCGCAGGCCCTGTGCCAGCGCGCGGACAGTGAGAAACCTCGTTCTAGCCATCTGAAGACGGAAATGTTTTTTCATTTACAAATCCAGTTTTCACCAAGTTTCGTGATGGCATGACGCCGCGACACACTTCTCGGGGAGGGCGCCGCCGGGGCTCTGGCCTCAGAAGAGCAGCACTCCCATCCGGAGACTCGTGTCTCCTCTGGAGGAAGGTGCCTGAGCTGAGCGAAACCTGGCAGCTAAGGCAGACAGTGCTGCTGGAGGGAAACGGAAACTGAGAGGCAGGAAGGGGCTAGGGACGCTCCTGGGTGAGTGGACACTGGCTGCCGAGTAGAAACCACCAATAAAACCTGATCAGGGCTCCCGTCCTCAGAAAGCTGGGGGCTGGAAAGTGGGGAGCCATGCCCCTCATCTAGGCGGCTCCTGTGATGAGGGGGGAGAGCCCACAGGGGCGGGAAGAAATCAGGCAGCGGTCAGCACAGGCAGCCCTCCGGCTCTGCATCTGCTTCACGCTCCATCCAAACAGCTGCCTGGCAGTTCATGTCGACAACAAAGATGGGACTTTGCAGGAGCAGAGATGGCCGCCGCCTCTACCTGGGAGCCCCTCGGGGCCTACACCCCCTGCAAGCACAGCCCTTCCCTGGAGATGAGGTTTCCTGAGGGTCCCCCCTAGGGTGCCGGCTGCAGGCAAAACCAGGGCACTGACGTGTTTTAAAGCAGAAGGTTCTGTCAACGTTTTAAAGTAACAAACCTCACCAATTCAGCAAGCAATTTAAAAAGAACATGTAGATGTTGTCAAACTGAAATTGGGATAAATTGCCACGAACCCTCGCTCTCCAGATAATAAAAATGACTTCTACAAGCATGGGGCCTGCTTTCAGTTGACGCCTCGGCTCCCTGAGTCACCAGGGGCACAACCAATACCACTGCCGCAGCGAGTCCAGAGGACACGAGGGACTTCACGTGTCTGCCACTCGCCCTGAGAATATTCCTGCAGTCAGAGTCACTCTTCAACATTCTCCTCTCACGAAAGAGGAAGGAGGAAGATGAGGAACCACACACGTGAGAGAAACCAGGTCTCTCCTGTCAGAGGTCCTTCTGGAACAGGCCTTGCTGACAGACTGCACAGCCAGCTGTGCCGTGCGGGGCTCCAGAGATGGGGCTGTGCGGGCAGGAAATGGGACAGCGAGTGTCTATGAGGCCAACTTGGTGCAACGCCTGCAGGCCGTAGGTGCTTGTTAAACCTACTGTCCGCTAGCAGTTATGTTTTAGAAGAGTGATTTTGCAAATGCTCACACACTAACATTAGCTTAGATGCAAACGATTCCTGGGCAGCTTTGCAAGAAGCTGGTGAAAAACAGTTGTTTACAAGAATTGGGGGTAAAGGAGAGGAGGGAAGCTACACACCATTCACACCCTGAAGCCCAGAATATTCACTCTGCCCTTTGCATGAACGAATCCTTCGAAAGTGCACAGACCAGCATGGTCAGTAGACATCACCCTCTCTGCTCCTTCACTGCGTTGCTGTCACCACCGAGAACGGCTCGGCTGCACGGACTGTGCTGTAGACGAGGCTAACGCCCGGGTCAGCAGCGTGAGGAGCAGCCCGGCCTCCCTGGGGCCTCCTGCCTCCCACACAGTGCAAATCTGCTGCGATTCCTGCTCAGTGACCAACTGGTCAGGCCTCCAGGGCGGCCGCTCAGCCCGACAGCAGCATCCGACCGGCCCCTGGATCATGGCTGCGGCACGAAGGGAATGCCACACCCGAGAAAGCCACCGTGCTCCCAAACAGCACCCCGCTTCCGGGAGAAGACACTGGTTCCCAGGTTTTCATATAATAAGTTAGCAACTTCACTGGCCATTTAGATCCTAGCTATAGCAGGTCCTCATTTAAACCAAAAGGAAGTCTGCTTCCTGAGCCGTATCAGAACTGATTTAGAGGAAGAGACACATTTAACGGGAAAGCAGTTCTGGGGCTTTTCATGCACAGACAAGGTTCCCTCTCGCTGGCAGAGAGACGTGGAGGTCCCCTAGCCACGCCTCTCTGTGTGGGGGGCTCTGTGAAGCTGGAGATTGAGTCTGAGTCCCATGGACCTGCCCCGAACTAAATGCCATGTCCGTCCGTCCTTGCTCGCCAGGCCTGTAGTGCCGGCAACTACGGTGCTGCATCCAACTAGCCGAGCACGTGGCCGCCGTCCACTCAGGCACCTCGTCCTGTGGGTGCGGCACGGGGTGCCATGGACAGGAGGGCGTGCCCTCGCCCTGAAGAAGCCTCCACCTCCACAAGCACCAGCGCAGGTGGTGAGTGACACGAGGGTGCAAATCAGTGTCTATTCTCACTGAACCCAACCCTTCGCTAATTTCCTGATTTCCTGATTAAAACCAACAGAGAGAGAAGCCAACACTAATAAGGCTTCCTCTAGGAATCACTTATAAAACGGTAAATGGTTCACTTTGACCAAATTAGCAGGGCGGGCAGGGATGAGTTCCCTGGCCGGGGACCTGCACTCCGAGCTTTAACCTGACGGATGTGTGATGACAGGCTGCACGGGGCTGCACGACAGGCGTTTACTGGACATGAAGAGGCGCTGGGTTATTCACAGGTGGATCCACGCGGCATAGCCGGAACCCGGAGCAGCAGTCAGAGTGCAGCGCGGGGAGGAGCAGAGTGCAGACTCCGCCCCCAGCCCTGCCTGCAGCCTAGTGCGCTGGAGCCAAACAGCACCTGACACACTAACCAGGAACCATTTCCTCGGAGGTCTCTCAGGCATGAAGAAAAAGCCTCTTAAAATAAATTTAAAATATTCTGTGCTTGATGGTGTCTGAGCAAGGATTCAGTCCCAGCACCGAGGGCAGTCGGCGCTCCTCACTCACCCTGCAGGCAGGAAGCAGGCGGCCTGCGGTCTCCCAGTCACCTCCCCAAACAGCGCACAGGGCACAGGGCACAGCGCACAGGGCACAGGGCACAGGGCACAGCGCACAGGGAAGAGGGCACAGGGCACAGTGCCCAGCGCCCAGCGCCCAGCGCCGCACTGTGACTTCACACCTGAGTCAGCAGCTGGACCGCAGGCTCCGAGCTGGGCGTCCTCAGAGACAGAGGAGGGCTGTGCACCAAGCGCGCTATGAACTCGGGATCAGCACTGAGCAGACAGGACGGCTCGCACTGCAGCTGCTCAGAGGCTCAAACTTCAGGACACGTGCACCTTTCCGCCCTGACTTTCCAGCAGCTGATCCAATTATTATCCCAGTAGAAACATAAGAACTATTCCCAAGTAGAGCTATGATTAGTCTAGTTCAAAAATGTCTGTCTTCATAATATTAATGTTATTCTAACACTAAAGAAAAGAAAGGAGAAAAGAAGGCCCTTAGAATAAACACAAATGGTGACACAACTTCAGGAAATCAGGGAACACGTAAGTCAGCAAACAGTGACAGACGATATAAATGAGCGGCCAAGGCACTCAACATGGAGAGCGCTAGCGGCATTCAGTCATGGGCTCCCCAGACACAGGCACACGCTGCTTCAACGCAGACGGCGGCCGACAGGGTCTCAGAAAAGTGATAAAAGCGCCCTTCACTCACCAGTGCTGGATCCGCTCTCGGCAGCCGGTGACCACCTGTCATGGAAACAGATAACTCCTCATGAGAAACAGGGCATGGCACAGCTCAAAACCCGCGTCGCCGCGAGCGGGCCTTACAGATTCCACGGCGCCTCCGGCCCCATCTGTACGTGTCACCCGCGCCGAGATGGGAGCGCTGGCTCCTGAGCAGCACACTCCATCACCCCCTCTAATGCGGGCTGATAACCGCAGAACAAATTACAGCTCCCGGCTCGGGCTCGGGGCGAAGCCCGCTGCACAGCAGTGAGATGACACACGATATAAGATAACTAGTATTTTGTACAATCTACAGACCTGCTTTCAATGTTACATATTTTGTAGGATACACAAATGTTACAAATAACAAAAAAGCTAATGTAACATCCACGTTTCATCAGTTAAAAAAAATGACAGTAGTGAAAATATTTTATTTTGTCAGTATATCTCCGAATGTTCTCACCTGTGATTTTTATTCTGACGCATTAAAAATGAGTTCAGTGATATCTTTCTACTACATTTTCAAAGGGAAATACTTGGGATAAAGAGATGCTCTGAACAGCCCATTTGTTCCCTCTGTGAATTATGATAAAAGTGTAAGCACCTCATAGCCAGTTGAGCCTATAATACGAAAACAGTAAAATTAATGACAAAAGTTGTTTGTTTCCCTCCGCGGTATTTCAGTAGATTCCCACAATGCTCAGAACACCAGTAAGAACACTAGCCAATAAAGGGGAAGACACTTACATGGCAATTGAAAAGCAACACTGTTTCCAAAGATTATTAATCACTTGCTTTTACATGGCCCATTAATAAACATCTTAAATAATAATTTCAAATGCTGTAGCACCATTTTAGAGACAAAGAAACTAAGGAATAAAAGCCAAAAGGCTCAATACAAAGCCACATGAAAAAAAAAATAGAATTATCTGGGGTTTTGTTTTGTGTGTTTTTTTTTGAATCCTCACCTAAGGATATGTTTAGTTTTTTTTAATTATTGATTTTTTTTTTTTAGTGAAAGGAAGGAAGGGGAAGGGGGTGGGAGGGAGGGAGGGAGGGAGGGAGAGAAACATCCATCAGTTGCCTCCCACATGCACCCCAACCAGGATAGCACCCGCAAGCTAAGTATGTGCCCCGACTGGTACGAAGCCACAACCTTGGTGTATGGGACGATGCTCCAACCAACTGAGCACCGGCCAGGGCGCTGTATCTGGTTTGACACCCACTGCTCTGGCTCACTGTTCTGAACACCGATAACTGACTGTCTGTCTGCTTAATGTTTTACCCAGAAATCACAAGGGGGTGGGGGCTGTCACTAAATCTCTCTAACATTTACTAGTAATTCCTGAAATAACTGTCCTCCTTTGGGACATGTTAAATACGAGGGCAGGAATCCTGCACAGAATGCATGCTGTGATCAGACCCCCAACCACACCCCATTCACTCAGCACAGGGGGTCCGCTGTGGGAGGAGGAGCTCGGAGGATCACTCCCTGAGCCGCACTGAGCAGCGGCGCTGACACCGCCGACCAGGCACCTAGAAGGGCCGGCCGCAGCGACACCAGTCCACCCGCTGTCTCTGATCTGGCCGTCGCTGTGAAAGACACACAGAGCTCCGTGTCCATTGAAAAGAACACCTCTGCCTGGAACCCTTCTGATGAAGCTCCTACTGAACAGCCGTGAAAAGATGAGACCCCGCTGCAGCCGACGCCGGGCTCCACGCATGAGGTGAGCCGGCAGCACCCGAGCAGGGCTTCATTAACCTCCACGCGGAACCTGCCCCGGCTGCATATTAACTAGTTACATATTCATAATCACCTACATTATTTAAAGGGCCTTCGATGAAATGTTCTCTGCAATATCCATTAGTGACGGTGTGAAAGGTCACAGAAGATAGTCTACGGAAGGCTTCCAGGAAAGCTTTTAATTAGTAAATATGTAAATTTGGCACATCCGCTTTTTATGCTTAAAAAACAAGTCCGCGGTAGGATGGCCCGTCTTCCTGCCATCCCCCCCCTGCTCCCCACCAGGTCCCAGCTACCCTGCCCCAGCCCGCCCCTCCCCTGGTCCCTTCTCTTTCCTAAAAATAGTTTCCCAGGAACAGATTTCAAGGATACAACAACAACAAATCTATTTCGTCATTTACAAGGGAAACTTTCACTGCCAAAAAGACTGTCTTACACTGAAGTGTCTACTGGCTACGGGTAGGGTTCAGAACAGAGGTTGCAGCTGGGCGCCATCCAAATACAGGCCAGATATTTTGAGAACCAAAGAAATAAAGGAAAAGGTGAAGGAGGCCCGCACGGACACAGCTCCCATGGCACGTCCACGGTTCTCTCTGCTACAGGACTCAGTCCACGGCTTCCGACAACACCTGAACCCAGGCAGTTGTGCTTACATTGTGAGATATCTGTAGTTTTCCTCGTCACAGCAAGTTGCTGTTTTTTTAATTTAGTAAATTTCTACAATGTAAATGTGAAGGAAAATTTTAGAAGGAAGAAAATCTTATGATTCAAACTTGAGTCTACCTGGGTTAAAAAACAAACCTGTCTCATTTTTCTGTGAAGTTAAATAATTCCAAATAATCTTATTCCCTCTGAAAACGAACTGATTATTCCTTTAACTATTAATAAAGTGACCAGAAGATAGTGAGCCTGGTTCTATAAACAACCCTTGGGGAAAAACAACAAGAAACATTTCGTTACTTTGTGGTCCTTCACACAAGCTTTTTTAAAAAAGATGGCTATCGAGGAACAGGAACTGAGCCAATTCCAGCTTTCTAAGTTAAACCTGCCAAAACATGAAACTGTTGCTCCTGAAGAAAGAAAATCTTATTGAACGGGGCACATTTTTAGAAAAAGAATTGGTCAGCAGGCTTCAATAATTAAAATAACTGACTCCGTCAATTCTGTAATATAATGGCACTTACAGCCAGGAATTGTAAATAAAATATGTCCGTAGTGGAAGTAGAGCACTAAGTCCAGTACAGGGGTCGGCTAGGAGCCGGCCTACCGCCTTTTACGACGCTCTCTCTCTAAGAGTCTTTGCCGACACCCCAGTCGTCAGTCACATGGCACCTGCCCCACCTACCCCAAGAGTAAGGCTAACAGCCAAGACGGCCCCTCATCAACCAGCTGCAAGCAGTTGTCAGGAGGCCTCGTCCTCTCCTGACGAGCGGGCACCTGTGTTCAGCAGTGAAGTCACGCACCCAGTTACAGCTGCCAAGAACCGCTAAGAGGGAAACGGTTTTAAACCGGGTCTCCCAGTCCCAAAGCCCACGCTCACTGCGTGGGACGCGTCCACAGGAAAGCAGCTGTGTGCATCCTCTCTCTCTCTCTCTCTCTCTCTCTGACTCGGCTGCTGCTCCTGCCCTCCCGCCATAAACCCACAGTCACAGTAATGCAGGAAAATCAAGAAAGCTTACATCCACCAATAACAGTCCTTCCTTCTTCCAATGCTTCACTATATCCACCAATAACAGTCCTTCCTTCTTCCAATGCTTCACTCAGCTCATGACCCTCAGGTCAAGCAACTAAGCATTTGTGCGTGCGTGCGTGTGTGTGCGTGCGTGCGTGTGTGTGCGTGCGTGCGTGCTAGAGGAAGAGGGCTGGCCTGTAGTCACTATCACATCGCAGCGTATGTTTGAGGCACTAACCGAGTTACACGTCCAGGATGACAATGACACACGGCCCAGCCAACAAACTGGTTTTCCTTTACGTCGGGGTCCCGCTGACATAGAGGCACATTCTGCTACGAAGGGCTAAGTGATATGTGATTGGTTTTAAGTCAACAAAGCCTACGGGACGCAGGAGTAAGAACGCCTTTGCTCCCGCCTTAGGAAGGCAGGCAGGCCTGGCCTCCGTGTGTAAGTCTCCACTCATTCCCCTTGCGCTCCTGACGTTGGTGACAGTCCGCCAGGGGCATCAGCCGTGCGTCCCCTTGGGAAATCCAAGCCACATTCCAAGTGGCCTGGAGAAGAAGCCGGAGGACGGGTGCTGTGCCTCAGTGGCTCGGAACCTCGCCCTTCACTCCTCACTGTCTCCCTACACTGCACTCCGGATCGCTCCTGCAACAGCCGCGGTGAGAGCCCTCGGACTGCCCAGGCACAGCTCCGAGGGCCGTGCCTCTCCTGCCGGCTGCCCGAGGACTGCCCAGGCACAGCTCCGAGGGCCGTGCCTCTCCTGCCGGCTGCCATCGGCCACGTCCACATGCTGGGTTTCAGTGCCCCGAGTCAGAAAGGAAAAGGGCCTGGAGGCTACGCTGACTGAGCTGACAGCTCCTTAACGGCTGAACTGAGCGTTAGTAAAGGACGTTCTGTCGATTAAGAAAGTAGGTGCACACATGTCGTCACACAGCACCTAAGACGTGCGCGCCAACAAATCAGTAAACACTGCATGTCTCTTAGGGAGCCAGCCTTCTCTGTAAAGAAGGAGGAACTGACTACAGGTTCCTACCAGAAAAAAAATTCAACACGAGCACTAAACTGCAATGCACTGGGGTTCTGTGTAACGCTTGTAAACAACTTCACTTTCTAAATATCCTAAAAGGCAAAAATACCAAAGCTGCTACCAAAAGTTAACTTCAATTATATAGAGCCACTCGCCAAAACACTTGGAGGTTCTTATGCAACAAATATAGCCAGGATGGAATCAACACGACCCTCCTCACCGCCCCTGGACACTGAGCCCGTTTCCTACGCAGGCTGCCCGCACGTTCCCGTATTCACGCCGGTCCCTTTAGCGAGGCCGGACTATGTCTGACATGCCTGCCACTCCCTAAAGAAACAGCTCACTGCAGACGAAACACAAGCAGGAGGACGCACAGGGCTCAGCACCGTCATCTGATAAAAACCAAAGAAAAGACACAATTTCCCAGCAGCCGGGGCAGGCGCAGGGAGGACAGACACTGCCCTCCAAGGAGCAACAGAGTTAGAGCTGGAGCTGACGTCAACAAAAATAAGGAAAAATGAAAACAGAGTGAAATCTTAAAGTGGGAGAAAGTACCCGGACATCCATGATGATG